TCACGAGCCAACCCCTCAGGGCCTGCGCGTACGATCTCTGGGCCACCACCCACGACTCGAAGCACGCCCGCCAGTTCCGAAGCTCCGCCTCCAGGCTGGCGGCCGACCGGGCCAGCCTTTGCTGACCGGACAGTGACACCACCGTGTTGTTGTACTCCTTCCGTGGGCCCGCGGGCTTAGTCCCGGCGAGAAGGATCTTGGCCTCGTCGAGTGTCCGTTTCTGGATCTGGTGGCATTCCGCCATGGCCTTCCACATTCGCGCCAGCCTGTCGGGAACACACTTTAGTCGATGGTTATGGAAAGGAAGTAAAAGAGAAAGAAATTGAAAAAAGGCATGCATGAATAATATATACCCTTGCACCAATTCTAGTAGCTGTGGCTCGAGCTCCTCGTCCCTTAAAGTCTCGATCCGCCTCGAGATAGCTTCGACAGAGTGTATCGAAACTTTTATCTGAGTGTGCAGATCCCTTATGGAAGCCCTTGTTTTATCCACAAAACAAGGGTCGGTCCCTTTCACGTCTTGGTTCCTCAGTTGCGCGCATTTCTTCTCGTATGCTATTCGGACACGCTCACCCGCCTTTCAATATTATAAGACAAATACAAAAGTTGGAATGGAATTTTGCACACATAAAAACAATGAAGATATGAGTTGTTTCTTTTGGGTTTGAGGGATGTACCCTAACTTCTTGGTAGAGTTTCTTTTCCCAAGCATATAATCTGTCGAGGGTCGAGTGGTGGCTCCGTGAAAACAAGGACTCCTCAGAGAAGTCGCTGCTGCTGCTTTCGTAGCTTTCATCTCTTGAAGTTGAAGCACTGACCATAAATCGTGATGATGATGATGACCGAGACGAACCCGACCTAAATAGTGCCACTGGATTCAACATCTTCATTGCTGTTAACCAAAAAAAAAAAGTTGTAAAATAATTTCAAGAGCTTACTTAGCCAACAGACTTTCCTAACTATACATACAGAACTCATGCGAAAAATTTCAAGAAATAACATTTAAATTAGAAAAACACAAAATCGATCATCTTACGTGACAGATCATTCGATGACGATGAGTATTGTGCCCTGCTGGCTTCCAAAATCGGCGACATCTCCATGGCTGCATCACAAGCCGCCGTGAACTGATCCTCGAGATCCTTCACAACCTCCATCATGCTTGTCGGCCTCTTATTCACATACACTGTGAATCCAGGTGTCGGTTTTTCTTCTTTCGACTCACAATTCGCAACCGCTGTCTCCTTTTTGCTCACCTGGCCCACACTCTTACCTCTTGCCACTTCTCTTATTTCGTTCTCTTGTGGTGCAACCTCCTGTACATGATCACCACACTCCATTTCATCTTTATTACCATCCGTCTCACCATCATCATCACTGCTGTCACTAGCATCCTCGACAACAACATGGTTTACATCAAATTTATTTTCTGTACAATTTTCTCTACGATTCACACAATCATCGATTTCTTCTTCGTGCTCTGTCTCCTCTTCCAAATCGGGTATCCCTTCTTCCTCACGTACTTGCCTTATCCCATCACTCTCGTCATCCAACATCATCGACTGATCAAGTCCGTTCGTGGTGGGATAGCCGTAATAATCGAGAGACGAGAAAGGGTTCCAAAAGAACTCCCATTGAGAAGACGAGGCTCGGGGAGAAGAATGCTGCAGAGGAGGAGGGGTAGGATAGTAATTATGTCCATTATTAGGCAAATATTCGAAAAACGACGAGCCGTAATGTGTATAGGATTCGACTCGATAGGTGTCGGGAGATCGAGGCGGCCTCTCCTCGACCGAGACAGACGAGTTGTTCCCACCCGAACGGAAGTAGTTTATTTTGCAAGAGGTCACCGAGAAAGAGTCGGGCGTTTTTATGGAGATGAAGCCGGGGCCCGTTTTCTTTGGTGGGGTCGTAAATGGGTCAAGAAAGAAGTCTCGAGGATTATCACCGTCTAAGTACTCACGGAGGGCAACCGAGACCCGTCTCATGGCTTGGATGTATGCCATGTGTCCCGAAGCAAATTTGGTCCGGTGCTCGACAGCTTGGCGGATGAACTTTTTCCGATCCTTGCAGAGCCGAACAGCTTCCTCGTCGTCTAATTTCGACGTGGAACATCCCATTTCTCGTTTATTCTTTTACTTTTTCTTTTTTTTTTTTCTTTTATTTTTTTCTGTTGGCCCTTATTGAAATGACAATCTTTTAAGAATTTTCTTTAGGCTCGAGTCGAAAGGGAAATCACGGGCGAGCGGAGGCTTTGTTGCGGGCCCCACCAGATTCATAAGGAAAGCCTTTTTTGTTATGCAGAAATAGGAGAATGGTTATTAGTTAATGTGAAGCAGAATCTGGAGAAGTGTAAGCAGCAAGTAAAGAAAGAGACAAAGAGAAGAGGCTATTGTTTAATAGCATGAGGAGGAAGAATTAGTGTCCAAGGACATGGGTAAAAAAACATTCTTTGCTTTCATTTGAAGATACATGAAAACTCAAATAAGAAAACACTGTCCATATATGTTCTGATCAGATAAATCCATTTTAATTGATTAAATGCTCAATAAATCTACAAAGCGGTAAACTATCAAGACTTACAGAGTGATGAGAGCAGTGAATGGGATTATAAAAGCAGGTTGAATTTAATTACTAATTTCGAGGTGACAATCTTTATCATAAAGGTAGTAGTAAGTGGGAGGACATAGCAAAGAACAGGAAAAAAAAAGGTCCTAAAGCAATTCTCATTAGTCCAAACAAGATTAAAATCTCAGACATCCATGCCTTGGATTGGGGAAAAAAGTTGAAAACGAAATTTGTTTGAGAAAATGAATTTAATTTACCGAAATTCTTGACTGCAAAAGTGACAGTAACATGGGATCCCAAACACATCCCACAAAAGATGTAACAAACATACAAAATGAAACCCAAAACCCTGCTGAAGAGCAATAAAATAATCCATTCTTTTCACTACCCAAAACTCTGAAGAACAAAAACTAAAAAAACAAATCTTTTCAATGCTTAAAAAACCCTAANACAACCCAAAACCCTGAAGAACAATAACAAAAGAGGAAAAAAAAACTAGAAGTTTAATAAATTGGCTTATCGAAAGGAATCTTTTCAATACATTTTAGCAACAGAAATTGGACATTTTTTCATCCAACAAACACACTGCCAAAAGAATTAAATGTAAAGATTCAACCTTATCTATCCAAGTGCTCAAAATTACCAACAAAATCGAACCAAGAACACAGCTCACAAGTCACAACCTATCAAACCATGAGGAAACAAAAAGGTCTAACATTTGATTCAAGAATCGATTTTTGGCTGTTAAAATTGTTATGGGCCTGCCTTAGTTTCCATAGATATGTTACAGTAACTAACTGATCAAACATAGTTTAAAAACGAGAATCGAATGAGAGAACATTCGTACCTCAATGCAGAAGCCGTTTGCTTGATCACAAGTGTGTGTAGAGAGAGAGAGAGAGAGAGAGAGAGAGACGTTGGGCACTTGGGCTGAGAGGAAAAAAGCAACGGTCAAAAATTGTTTAAAGGCAGCTAAAGAAACTCAGAAAAGAGGAAAAAACAAGTAAGATAATGCAGCGAAAATAAAAAGGCAAAGCACAACAGGACGTGTACAGAAAAATTGCCCTAGCGTTTCTGGAAAACTACGAATATGCCATTGGCGAGTATATTTATTTATTGACGCATATAAAAATGTTAGGTGTAGTGACTAGTGAGCCAAGAATTAGTTTTTTTATTTTATTTTATTTATATTTTTTGCCAAACTTTAGTTAGATGAGTTAATTTTGATCTCAAATATCATAATCTTGAATGAAATTTTATAGATTTTCTTCTACATTTATGAGATTTTTTTATTATAAAAATATTGTGCTTCATTGAAATGGTCCAGAACTATGGACGCATATTTGAGGGCGCATTCAGAGAGCTATCAACCTACAAAGTCCCCAACGTAGAAGTCGATCGTCCGTCCACCAACCTACCGGTGGGGGCTTCATCAGATCGAGACATTGTTTTAAAATAGTCAACTTGGCGATATCAACTCGGAAAATAATGTTATTATTATAAAAATAAATAATTATATAATCCAAAGTAAAATAGATTTATCATCTTATTTTTAATAGTGTAAATTTTGTCTAGCAATATTTGCTAAGGATGAGACAAGAGAAATATGGTGACGGCCATCTATTCTCGATGATGCGTTGCTGTAAAATAAACCGAATATATGTACACAGTTTTAGGGTTACAATTATCATAAGTATACCTAAGGCTAAAACAGTAAATACAAATATAATACACAATAACACCCCCCATTCCCCCTTTAAGTTGGAGCATGCGGATTCTGAATGTCCAACTTGCTAAGAAAGAAATTAAATTCACATTTCCCAAGCTTCTTGGTAAAGATGTCAGCCAGCTGTGCGCCAGAGGGAACATGAGCAGTAGAGATGAGACCCTGCAGAAGAGCATCACGAACAAAGTGACAATCCACCTCAATGTGTTTTGTGCGCTCGTGAAAAACCGAATTCGCAGCAATATGCAGAGCAGATTGACTGTCACAATGCAACTGCATAGGCTGAGAATGAGCGACAGAAAGACAAGACAACAATCCCCGTAATCATTTCAGCTCGCACAAGGCAGTAGCCATCGCCCGATATTCAGCCTCAGTAGAAGAGCGAACAACAATATGTTGTTTCTTGGTTCACCAAGAAACATGAGACTGACCCAGCTGAACAAACGAACTCGAAAGAGATCGTCTACTGAGGGGACAAGTCTCCCAATCTTAATCACACCGCGCATAGAGTTGAAGATCACAGTTAGAATGAAGAAGGATCCCCTGACCAGGAGAGCCCTTTAAATACCGAACCACACGCAATGCAGCGTCCCAGTGAGACTGGCGTGGTTGGTGCATGGACTGAGCAAGCATATGCACAGAATAGGACAATCCAGGACGAGTAACTTCTAGATAAATAAGTCGTCCTACCAAATGCCGATTGCGCTCAGGATTGGACAAGAGAGCACCCTCAACGGCAGAAAGCTGATGATTTAGCTCCAACGGGAAATCAATGGCTTGCTCTCTAATAGTCCGGCTTCAGCAATAATATCAAGAGCATACTTCCGCTAACAGAGAAATAACCCAGAAGCATTCCAAGCAACCTCGATACATATAAAATACTTAAGTAACCCAAGATCCTTCATGTGGAAACAACGATTCAAATAACTCATAAAAGCTATAGTGGAGGAGGTATCATTGCCAGAGATAATAAGATCATCAACATACACCAATAATTGCAGATGAACAGAACCACGATGCAGGGTACAAAGAGAGTAATCATGGTAGGACTGACAGAAACCATAATGTTTGAGAGTCGTCGCCAACTTGGCGAACCAGCAGCTGGGAGCCTACTTCAAGCCATATAGAGAATGATGGAGATGACAAACTTGTCCATCAACATTAGTACGAAAACCATGCGGGAACTTCATACACACCTCCTCATCCAGATCACCATGTAGAAAAGCATTGTGAACGTCCATGTGTTGAACTTTCAAATGCTTGGCAGCAGCTACAGCCAAGAACAGTCAGACTGTAACAATTTTGGTGACCGGAGCAAAAGTCTCATGATAACTAAGACCTTCCACTTGATTATTCCCTAAAACTACCATACGCGCTTTATATTGCTCAAAAGTACCATCAGCCTTGTGTTTGATCTTAAAGACCCATTTGCACCCGATAGCACGTCTCGCAGAGGGGAGAGAGACCACATCCCACGTGCCATTATTTTCCAAGGCATGAATCTCATCCTGCATAGCAGCTCACCATCGAGGGTCGGTCACAGCATCTGCAAACTCTATGAGGCTCAACAGTGGAGGCGACAACAACTAAGAATGCTCGATAAGCTAGAGAGAAAGACTTACAATGGGATAAGGAGTACTTGAGGATAGAGACGGCTCGGGAGAAGCAGCGGGGGGAACAGTCGAGGGACATACGATATCAACCACAAAGTCCTTCAGTTGAGTAGAAGGAATCTTAGTCCGATGACCACGACCTAAAGACTCCACCAGAGGAGAAGACACCACCAAAGGAGAAGGCGCCGCTGGAGAAGGAGAACCTCCTGTCACCGGACACACTCATATCAGGAGGGACAACCCCAGTGTCAGAAGATACGGGTAGCACAGAGATCACTGGAGGTTTCTCATCATTTGGCTCAGAACAAATCGACAACCCAGAAGATAGGGGTAGAGAGATGGACCTGGACGAGGTAGTCAAATAAGGGAACTCAGTCTCCAAAAACTCCACATCATGGGAGACAAAGAAAATTTGACAATCCAAATCATACAGACTCCACCCATTCTTGTCAAACGGGTATCCCGTCAACACACAACGACGACTCCGATTAATAAACTTATCACCATTAGNACGAGACAAAAGAGGAGCAGAGCCGTAAAGAATCTCATATGGAGTTTTACCATGCAAAATCGATGAAAGGGTGCGATTTAACAAATAAGCTGCAGTCAGAACACAATGACCCCAAAAAGGAAGCAGCAGATGAGCCAGGAACGACAATGCATGAGTGACATTTAGAATGTACTGATGTTTGCGTTTCACATGCCCATTCTATTGAGGGGTGCCAACACAAGATGTCTCATGCAAAATCCCTTCATGGCAGAAATAAAAGGCCAAACTCAGTCCCAGTTTCCCAAATTGTCTCTCAATCATGGCATATAAATTAATCAAAATAGAAGCAACCTCCGTCTTATCATTTAATAAATAAATCCATGTCCCACGAGAACAATCATCCACTATAGTTAAAAAATAACGTGCACCACAGAAGGCCGGAACACGATACGGACCTCACAAATCACAGTGAATTAAATGAAAAATCTCATGACTAACAGTTTGATTGAGAGAAAAGCTACGATGATGTTGTTTAGGATGAAAACAAACATCACAAGATTTATTCAAACTATGATGACTATAATCAATAATGGGAATCTGTGACAATACTTAGGGCAGATGGATAATCGAGACGCTGGTGCCATACATCGATAGAAACTCTTTGAACATCGACAGAAAAATTTCCCTAGATTTTCTGGAAAACTACGAATATGCCATTGGTGAGTATATTTATTTATTGACACATATAAAAATGTTGTTAGGTGTAGTGACTAGTGAGCCAAAATTAGTTTTTTATTTTATTTTATTTTTATTTTTTGCCAAACATTAGTTAGATGAGTTCATTTTGATCCCAAATATCATAATCTTGAATGAAATTTTATAGATTTTCTTCTACATTTATGAGGTTTTTTTTATTATAAACATATTGCGCTTCCTTGAAATGGTCCCGAACTGTGGACGCATATTCGGGGGCGCATTCATAAAGCTATCAACCTACAAAGTCCCCAACATAGATGTCGATCGTCCGTCCACCAACCTACCGGTGGGGGATTCATCAGATCGAGACATCGTTTTAAAATAGACCTGGCGATATCAACTCGGAAAATGCGGTTTTTATTATAAAAATAAATAATTATACAATCCAAAGTAAAATAGATTTCTCATTTTTTTAAGTAGTGTAAACTTTTGCCTAGCAATATTTGCTAAAAATGAGAAAGGAGACTGTAATATTACGTTAGTGGACCGTAATATTATTTAAGTAATTGGAGGAGTGGGTCTGGCCCATAATTAGTCCATTACTTAAGAAGCCCTATTCCTATTCTCCTAAGGATCACTACTGTAGCTCTATATATACATCATTAAGCTCATGAGAAGAGAATATAAATTTCATCGTGCAGATACATACACGCACGGTGCCTCTCACCTGTCTCTAGATCTCATTCGAGTTTTATCTTCTTCTTGTTGCTCCACCGGTAAAGAGGTGTAAGAGTGATACAGTAGAAGACCCCAAAGGTAATCGAGACCCCGTGATCATCTACAGAAGTCGACAAATCTGAACCCGAAGGCCGAGATCTGCCGATCCCAGCCCCGCCGATCGCCGCCGTGACTAGTCGAAGGACCTTCGAGACCCGGCCAGCCCGCGACGACACGACCGGCGCCACCCAATCGCACGCTATCGATGCCGATGATCCACGCGACCCCCACGACCCGATCGCACGTGACACGACCCGCCATCCGTTTGTGTGATCCCATCCGCTGTGTGATCGCACGTCAAACCTTTAGATCCGTTGCGCATAGATTTACGTTTGCTATTGAATTCGTAACTTGTACATAACGAGATCCTCATAGATCCCAACATAGCCCCCTAGTGGATCAGCCTATTCCTTGGTGGGAAAGAACGAAGAGCTGCTCTCCCATCCAAAATTTTCATCTTGAAAGAAGTAGAGACCCCCCACTGCTCACCCGCGCCAATCATCATCCTCAAAGTACGGTCCTAAATAACACACAATTTATCAGTAAACTGAGCGGTACAATCAAAACTATCTAACAATTGATATGAGGAAATTAAGCTACAAT